GATGACAACCACTGTTTTAAAGATTACAGTTGTGAAAAATCGACTAATCTCAGTCATTATTAAGATTTTGAGTATAGTCCATTGGAATGTTACCATCTACATACAGTTTAGAACATTTTCCAACCACTTGTAAAACTTCCTTAATTATTGTGAAGTAAGAAAAGTTCAAAGAATGCAAAAATTTTAATTTGTTGTATAGTATAATACAGTCTCATTCAAAAGGTTGGATAAGTCTCTTTTTTGAAAAGAAGCAACGGGTTTGAGCAACTCCAAGCTCATTTGAAACAATTTTAAGTGGTTTTTACATCGGGTTGGATGACAACCACTGTTTTAAAGATAACAGTTGTGAAAAATCGACCAATCTCAATCATTATTAAGAATTTGAGTATAGTTCAATGGAATTATACCATCTATAGCCAGTTTTGAACATTTTCCATCTACTTGTAAAAATTCCTTAATAATTAGGATGAAGGAAAACTTCGAGTTGATACAAATAAACGGTGAGACGGGCAACGGGATGAACGGGATTCAGGCCGTTTCTTATTCTAAACGGGAGATTCTCTCCGCTTAATACTACAAGCTGGCAATTCAAATATGGAGAGAGAGCTTAGTAACATTAATAAAATGAATGAGACATAATTACTTTTTGAATTTTCCTTTTATATTTGAAACTTTGACTAAGCTTACTTTCAATTGTTTGTTTAATATGGCTTGCTTGACTGAAGAATAAGCAATAACTAACACATCCAAACATCACCAAATTGGTCTGACTGGATTTTGGAAGAAAAAATATTTCAACATCTAGTACGTGATGTACTTTGATGATTTACGGAGTGGTTTCACATCTTTATACCACAATAATTTCAGCTCGTCATCTCTACATCATCTATATATAGTAGTAATAGTGATTTTTATTGGAAAATTATCATCATGAAATTAGAAATTATTTTTCATCATGGAAAAATTCATGTTGGTGATACCATCATCTGATCATTTACCAACCATCATCAATGATATTTTCCATCGATATAATAATAGTATTTGTGGAAATTAATTTTCAGTAATTTAATTTTAGTTGAAAATCACCATTTTCACTAAATTCATCATCAGTGTGGAATCTACTGTACAAATTGGAAATCTGTCAACATAGTATTGTTCGGAATGGTCAATAGTATCAGAAAAGATTTTGTCCGATGACTTTTGGTCAAGTTATGATAGGGAAAGGTATGTGTGAAATTTGAAAATACACATTATACTACCCATCATGTACTTCACCAAATCAAAAAGTTTCTTCTAGTAGTACTATTTAAATTGATAATAAACATCATATTTATTATAATTTATTCCTTTTCTTTTGTGTTGGTCAAGTTCCGGTTGGGTTGACTAAGAATTGGTTATTTACTCGCCCAAATTAAATTTCCAAATCATGTAACTTTCCCATGTATTAGTAAATATCAAATTAATAATAAATTTCACTTTTTTTTTAATTTTTTATATAAGGCAGTCCTTAACACTCTTTTTTTCCCTTAATTCTAAATAACTCTTGGATCAGATGACGAAACCTGAATTTTTTGAATAATTATGGATATATAAATAATGACAATGCTACTAACTGTAATTGACATGTTTTATTATTTGCGAATAAACTTGAAACAAATCTATTCAAAGATTTGCTAATTTGTTAGTTGAAATTACAAAATCAAACAATGAAACTTAACCTGGTAACATATATGAATGCACACATCGAGTGGGAAAAGTTTCATGAAATAATAATGTGAAATTTGATCTTGGGAATGAAATCGTTAAGAACAAGTAGATTAAATCCAACAACAAATGAATAGCCTATTTTATTCAATTAGAACAATTTTAGAATGTTACTGTGTTATTGAGCTTAATATCCATTCTTAATTCCGTTTCTTACTTCAGACTGCCCCGTTGGACAGTTTCTTACTTGAGGCGGATTCCGTGAGACTGTGTGTTCCGTCACTCCGTTTCTTAGTATTCACTCGAAAACTTCACTAAGAAAAGACAATGTTAATTTGTTGAACAGTATTGTACAATCCCCACCAAAAGGTTGAATAAGTCACTCTTTTGAGAAGAAGCAACGGGTTTGAGCAACTCCAAGCTCATTTGAAATATTTAATAGTAGTTGTTACATCGGGTTGGATGACAACCACTGTTTTAAAGATTACAGTTGTGAAAAATCGACTGATCTCAATCATTATTGAGAATTTAAGTACACTTTAAAGGACTGCCACCATTTCCATCGAGTTTGGAACATTTTCCATCTACTTGAAAAAATTCCTTAATAATTGTGAAGTAAGAAAAGTTCAGTAAGAAAAAATAAATTTCAGTTTGTTGTATAGTTAATACATTCTCATTCAAAAGGTTGGATAAGTCTCTTTTTTGAAAAGAAGCAACGGGTTTGAGCCACTCCACGTTCATTTGAAACAATTTCAAAAAGTTTTTACATCGGGTTGGATAACAACCATTGTTTTAAAGATTACAGTTGTGAAAAAATCACAAATCTCAATCATTTCTTAGAATTTAACTATGCTGTAACGGAATGTTACCATCTACAGCAATTTTAGAACACTTTCCATCTACTTGAAACAATTCCTTAATAATTATGATGCAAGCAAAGTTCACTAAGAAAAGAATATTTCAAAAACTTATTGTTGGTGGAATGATTCTGCACAACTATAGAGCATCTCCTTGTTCCGATATTGTACATGTGGATATTAGTAAAAAAACCACCACTATAACAAAAAATTTTGTTTTGGTCCAACAGATGATGAGAAATGGCACTTGTAAATGTTGAAAATAATGTTATACCAATTCTACACCACTCAGTGTCCTATACACAACTTGACTACTTATCATTTACAAAATGATGATACAATTGAAATAAATATCTTATCTCAATTTAAATATAGAGATGGTCAATTAAGGTACCTCAATAGGAAAGTACCCTAAGGACAATGAGATTCAATACCAAATTGATACAATATGTTATTAACATTATATACTGAGGTTTCTATCAATTTCAAATCATTTGGACATCATTCAGTGTTCATGCCATTAAACCATGTCACTAACTACTCATGATAATATTACAAGTCAATATCAAGATGTACAACAAGATAGAATATCATACAACTACTCTTATAATTGATATTCATAACGTATTTGAGTAATATAAATCAACATCTATATAATTGGAATATCTGTCAAGCTACTGTCCCAATTGACAAAAAGGTAACATTCTTACATGTCATGAATGGTAATAATCAATACTAATTCAATATTATCATGTTATAATCATCAAATACTCTCATAAAATCAATTTTGGAATGATTTCAATATCATCTTAGATAATTATCATATGACAAAGTTACTACCTTAGTGCACAACCCACGTCATTAATAAATGTTAAAATTGAAATATTTCAATCATATATTCATATATATATCAATTATAGTGTATAATACCAGTTTTGTAGTATAAAATCAATTATTGGTATGATGGCAATATTTCAATTAAACATTGACATTGCAACATTTCCCAAATTGGAAATATAGATTATAACATCATGATATTCAATATTTATTGATAAAGTACAGTGATGACATATATTATCTAATAAAATATTCAGATCCCTTTAAAAGTGTTAACCACATCGAAAGCTCCCCTATTGCCATCCAAGTTGACTTCCAAAAGTCTCAAAATGGATCCAATCATGATTTTTTCAGTGATTTATAATTACCATTCATATTCACTACTGTATTTATCAGTATTATTGAATTTTATTGTGTTTCCATATTATAGGTCAACATCTTGGTCAATTAATCATTTACTAGTAGAAAAGCTACAAGGAAATGTTTCTCTCTAGTCACCACCCAATAACCTCCTCTTCATGAAGAAGAGTTCCAAATCTTGAGATGAGAACCTTGTTCACTTTCAATATGTTGAATTAATGCAACCACTTTCCCATTCTTCTATCAAGTGTTGTCACAATAAGAAGCTTCTGATTCGTATCAACAATAAACAATTTCAAAATCTTAAATCAATAAGAGATTGGAGTAAGAGGTATCCGAGGTTCTCTAATCCAAACCCAATTTCAAAATCCTTTAATGAGATTATATAGTCTATATCATCATTAACAACATTTATAATCACTTTCATATCACATTTCTAAACTTCAAGTCTGTAGATATAAAA